CATGAACTTAAGCAATAGAGTAAGGTATGAATCTATTTACAGGAGTCATGCACAACCATATACAGACAATAGTAATCAAGGCCTTTGAGCCTAGTGGTTCTATAAGCCTTTCCAGCTGGTTCACCTTCCCTGAGACCAAATGAAGACAACATTAAACTTTTGAATCAGGCAGTGTTGTGCAAATATAAAGCACAAATTTACACACAAACAGATAACCGATATATTTGAATTCCTCTGTAAGAAGCACATGCTAGTTAGATGATTAGGAAATGCCCATACAGTAACATCATCGGTAGATATGCTCTAGTGTTGTGGTGCTTTCCCTGCTTGCTCAGATAGACTTTGATAGCTGACAACATACACATGGAAATTAATAATCAGAAACTCAATATCCAGTGGGGTTTCCAAGCACAGATTCATAAAATTGTAACCACAATTAACTTGGCTGATGAATGCCACACCTACAAGAACTGAATACAGTGGAACCTCGGGTTATGAAAGCTTCTGTTAACGAACTTTTCGGGTTACGACCAGCTCTGGCTGCAAAATTTTGCCTCGGTTTGCGAACTCCGCCTTGGGGTACGAACAGGATACGCGGTCATTTTCCCTCCCGTGACACGGTCCGTGGCCATTTTTCCACCCCTGACACGTGGTCCATGGCCATTTTTCCGCCCCTGACACGTGGTCCGCGGCCATTTTTCCGCCCCTGACCCATGGTTGTAGGGTGGGGGACTCTCCCTCCAAGCAATAGCCACCTCCCTGTCCTCCACGCCAGAACGGATTAACGGTAATTACATTGAACCTTATGGGGAAATTTGCTTCGGGTTGCGACCAATTTGGGCTGTGACCAGAGTCACGGAACGAATTAAGTTCGTAACCCGAGGTACCACTGTATTAGTATGCAGCAAGATTATGGTATGCAAAAAGTTGGAAAAGCAATGAAACACCTACAGTGGAAGATGATTGGATTATAAAATTAACTGAACTTGCAGAAATGGCCAAACTGACCAGTCTGGTCAGAGAAAAAAACAACAAAGATTGTTTTGAAAGACTGGAAACCTTATATGGACTATTTTTTTCGAAAGAAGAAAAGATCAAATTGTTGATTTCTGGATTTGGAGATTAAAAAGGGATGAAGAGGATGGGGAAAAGATTAAGATGATAATAATTTGATAGAAAGAAGGGCGAAAGGCATAAGTGTATGTTTTCTTTTCATTCCCTTTCTTTTTCTCTTTTCCTTACTATCTTTTTTTCCCCTTGCTTTGTATATTTTTACTCCATTGAAAAAAAATCTAATAATATATATTTATTATATAGATAAATCTTTATATAATAAAGATTTGAATATTACTAACACCTACTCCGGGAGCTTGTTTGTCAGAAGTATTTTGGTGAGAGAATACAGTACAGCTACTTCAATTCGATGTAAAATGTTAGTATGCTTGATTTGGTCTCTGGATGTGACTTCATTTTCAGCAATAGAGGAGCTTAGCAGCTTTGTAACCAAAGCAAAGCAAAACACACACACACCTTTCCAAGGAAGATAGGTTGAAGACCAGACTGTTGCAAAAGAACTACAGAGAAAATATCAACTTCCTTTCCACTTACCAAATCTTTAGATTAGAAATAAAGGGAGGCCAGGAAGGAATCACCTGCAGTTCCAAAGCCTATATGTACAAGTATTGGCAGTATTGTCAAGGTCCTCAATTCTCACACCATCTAAAATGGGGTACAGCCTATTGAAAAAGAATTTGTCCTCACTTCATCCTGAATGCCTGACTGTGAGGGCCTGGTAATCTGGTAGGAGAAACTAGGTTACCAGTGTAGCATTGACTGCTTCCCCATAGAAGTGCTGAAATTCCTACCACACCAATATAGCTTCATATGATTATTACTAATAATGCAATAAAAACTGGGGAGGACTGAGAGGGTTCTACTCTCCCCTACCATCTGTATCTCAGAAGCTGTATTTGGTGTTGAAGGCACTTGGTTGATCTTGATATTTACCAGTCAAAATCAGTATGCTATGAAAAACTCTGTAACTGTATTTCTTGTAATGGGCTTTTAGTCCCCAAAGTAATTCATGAGATTACAGCGGGAATTATCAGCACAACACCCAGGGCTCTATGCTTGCAAAAATAAAATAATCAATGTCCACCACCCTTCATTTTGTTTTGGGAAAATGGAGCCAGAGGCACACCACCATGTCATTATGAAAACGGGTGAGATAAAGTATTTTGCACATTTAACATGCTTTATAAATTAGCCACAATGAATGTCTTAATGACTTGGAAAAGTGACAGATGCAAATGACTGGAACGATTTAGGTTGCAAAGTCACTGAGCCACATATATTGTACTTCCTGGTAAGGTAAGCCTGTTTGCTGCTTTCTGCTGTAATAAAGAAAGGTCTTTTCCTAATATTTTGCTGACACAGGTCAATTGCATAAATTCAAGAGATAGGAGGAGTGATGCGTACAAAAATAAACCTTTTATAGGCTTGATGCATAATTATCTCTGCCCATTACAGTACCCATTTTAAGGCTTTCCTAAGAAAAGCTGTTACCAGATGTTTCTGTACATATTTACTCATTGTTGGGAGACAGTTATGAACCATTTCCATCTAATACTAACATCATCACAGATGCAAGTCCTTCCTTAAATGGGAATTTATTCGAAAGCAATCTATACTCCCATAGTTAGAAAATCATTCTTTTACTCAAGATTCATTATTTCAGAATGCCAAAAATATTCTGCTTCGGCAATCATAATTACTTAACACACGCACACTACATATATAAGTGTGCCACTGGAAAGAGCAGCAAATAAATCATTTTAATTGGTTTTTCACAACACTGTTGTATGAACTAAAGGGGCTTTAGAATGAGGATAACCAATCTGCGTTAGTGACAAAAATATCCTTGGCTGTAAGCTGTTCCAGAGAATAACAAGCATGATCATAAAAATACAACTGCTATACTGAGTTTGAGGCCCCAAAATCAATATTTTGTTCAGCTGTGAAGTAAACATCGTACTGTTGGATCACTTCAGACAGAACCAAGGCAGTATGTTTGCATTTTCAGCACCTATGTTTTGATGCTGCTTGAACACTCAATAGTTGAATACACAGAGCAAGCACTGTGTACACTGCCTTGAGCCCCTGAACAAAGGTCCTGAACAAAGCTGCTTCAGCCATTCTTCAGAGGTTGTTGGTTCCCTAAAATACTGATAACATGACAGCCTGAAGCATTTATGCTAGGAGAAATTAGCCTCTGCATTTCTGATCCAGCTGCTCATATGCCATTATTTTTATTACATGCATGTCCCATTTTACTGATTACACGCAGGCCTCCCTCTTTACCACGAGAAGTAAAGAAGCCCTTTAACACTATATGATGTAATGATGTGCTCGAACCATTCTTTGCAAAGCCTCTGTACATTTGTGGGTAGACAGGCTATCATCTTAAACTACATTCATGATTGTACGTGTAGGTAATCCACAATTGTGGCGTTTATTTATTTAACAATATCAATAGGCTGCTCCAATCCCTACAGACTCTGGGTGACATAAAATCCATACATATGTTCTAATATCAGACCAGTGTTTGCCAGTTTTAAGACTGCCTTCCTTTGAAGCAATGAGCTTCAAAAACCATAACAGATGAACATAAAATCCATATTTCACAGGACTGTAGCCACAGCACTTAATGCTGCTACATAAAACCTTGGTCAAAAAAGCTTTTCCCCATCTTGTAGGAGAACAAAATCAAAGCTTTAGAGAAATGATATATTATCTAATTTAGATCAAAGATATTCCCTATCACTGGAGGCTACACCATGCAAGCCAAGAATAAGATCCTGATGAACAAATTTGGGGCCATACATGGCAGACAATGTTATAAAGGCATCTTTTTCCCCAGCCCAGAAAATTGCTTCAAGATATTGCTGTCCTTTCAAATGGCACTTGCTTTGCTAGTGAACTCAGGCTGTCCCTGGTCATTTTTTAAAAAGAGTATTTATTTTGGCCATTGGTCAGAAATACAAAAACATAAATATAAATCACCAACACACCATTTTCAGCAAACTCAACAAATTTACGAGCCTAGTCATGTGTTCAGTGGTAGCCAGTGAAATCAAAATGAGTGACTCCAACAAGCTGAACTTTGAGAAAAGACAACTGGAGTTGCGTAACACTGACATTTTTATTAGAATTCATTTGTAACAAATGGAACTTGTGTCAGCAAAGAACTGATTTTCATACAGACTTTCTTTCGCCACTAATGTAACGAAGTAAGAAAATAAAAAGCACGCCTTTCATTCTGTAAAACATTTACGCGTACTACTGATTAGAGGTAATTGTATTTTTTTAACAAGCCATTTTACAAGGATTTTGTTTTAATTTTTCAGTCTAGGCATCCAAAACAAGAGCAGAGAACACAACTTGTATTATTTTTGTAAAGACACTCCAAGCCTGAATGGCAACGCCACGTAACAAGATGGATGACGGGACCTTCAGCCTTCTGATAGTCTTTTGGAGTATCAGGGCTCTTAAAAATCAAAAGATTAAAATCAGAAAAGGGGAGGAAATAAAAAAGGGGGAAAATCTGCATTTTGTTGTTGCCCCTGCAAACTTTCCACCTCTTTTACCATGTTTTTGTGTTATTTACATACACACAAGTGGATTTTCATAATCAGTTTTCTTACAGATGGGTTCAAGTAATAATACTATTGGGTGTAGAATCAATAGGGCAGTGCATAGTACAAAGGTATAGAAAGTGCAGATCACCCTAGACAAGCCCTCCCTTTGCCCATCCATCCTCACCAACGGCTAACCATGCAAACCATTTTTTTTTAAAAAAGAGCTAAAATAAAAGTTCTGTACAAATAATTCTTATATAGTTTGTGTATTTCTCCATTGTTAACTAATTACAAAATTATACATAACTACACATACATAGGTAAATAATAGCACCGTACTGATTATGCTGAGGAAACAAAATTCCGACTATGGTGAATGACGGTTTACGAGACCTACTCATTTAAAAAAGAAAAAGGAAATGAGAGAAAAATCACCGCACCGCAAAGGAACCCAAATGGAATGCACATCAATGATTTGGATAGAAATCTCTTTAGAAGCAACTCCTGAATAGTAGCTTTGAGAGGAAGATGACTGGCTATTTGTTTGGCTGCTTTTCCGTGATGCCCCTCCCTCTGATTTAATTTATACTTTTCTTTTATAAATCAAACAGTTGTTGAAGAAAGGCTGGCCTGATCTGCAGTGGGCCTCCCCAAGGCATGTCTGCACAAGGTGTCCATGGATAGAGCTGGTGCACAACTGAGGATCCTCCTTGACTCACGGCTCCTGCTCAAGGAGCAGGTGGCAGCTGTGGCTGGAGGGGGGGGAGCTTTGCACAGATAAATCTTGTGCCCTTTCTGAACCAGGAAGCCTTGCTGATGCTCACTCATGCTTTGGTTGCTTCCCAAGCCCCCACATCCTCATCGGCAGCCATGCCCATGATTACTAATCACTCTGCATCCAGATTCTGCAAGACCCAACCGATCCATGCCACACGATACGGCTCTTTGGGGAAGAATTCTATTGCTTCGGCCCTGGCAGGTTTGTGCTTGAATTTAAGCCAATTCACCACAAGCGTTTGTGCAGCCATGCCTTTCTAGCATCGTTTGAAACTGTGTCGGTCTGTCAAACCATACTTTTGGTTCAAAGGGTGAGTTCAGTGTGTAGCCTGGACCTTTTTATTTTTGACAGAAACAAATCAAAAGGAAACATGCAGTGCACACATTCATGTTGGATTCTGATGTAGAATTAAAGAATCTCACTCTGAGGTAGCCTTCTAGAATGCTTATTTAAAAATTATTATACATTATGTATGTGGATTTTTTTTTTGTTTTTTGCGCTTTTTAATTGGTTTTTTTAAAATATATATATATATAAAAGTGCTCAAATAGAATGCTTTCTAGTGTTTGGTCTTTTAATATATTTATTTCTGGTAGTGATGGAAAACATGGAAAAATAAATGCTAATGTAAGTATATTCTTGGTTGTTTTTCTTTATGGAAACACATCTAAAAACATTTCTTTGATATTTGTGATTTAACATGGTGCCAGGTTTGACCTAGCCCAACATAAGAAGCCGTAACTTCTGTTCAACTGGCCCAATCAATGTCTTCGGTTGTCTTTAGTTAATACCACCAGAAGTCCCTTGTCCAGCTGAATAAAGCCTAGCCTTGGCCTCCAGTGAAATTCACGTACATGAATTGGGATCCAAACCCATTCAAATTGTCATTCCTAAAGTATTAGGAGCGTTCTATTATATTTTCAGAATAGCAATGCTATCTTCTATAAAACAAAACAAAACAATTCTATGGTTATGGATGCCAGTTTGGGCAAAAAACACACTTTTGAAATAGTTTGCCTGTGGCTACAGGGCGCTTGTCTACCTTCTGCTTTGGATAAAAAATTACTGATAGTGAACACTTGGGGAAAAAACAGGAATGAATATCGTTAAAACAAACTTCAGTGTACATATGCTGAAAAGAGAATGTTTTAATTGAAAGGGGGGTGGGTGGGAAATCACAGAGATCCTGTTGAAGCAAACAGACAAAAATGAAGCAATGCTATCAAAATAGGCATCAAATATAAGGCACTCTAAATGCAAAAATTAAAATTGAAAACTGCATTTCTAACTGGTGCTGTATGCCATAAAATATTTTGACCTAACAGAGCAACGTGAGTTTGGCTTTGCCCCATTATATGTCATCAGTCCAAATGTCTTACTCTATATTGCAGACAGTTATATGAGTGGATACATTTTAAAAATTCTTGACAACTATTATAGCATTTTCTTTCTGTTAGGGATATGAACTGACCTTCTTCATACATATATTTAGTGTGGTTGCTATTGCACTAAAATGTTCCAAATATGAAATCTCACCGTGAGCTATAATGTAATATGCAATGCAATCCCTAAGCAGGTTTATTTAGAAGTGAGCCCCACTGAGTTAATGGGGCTTCTCTTCTAGTAATGGTGGATGAAACTGTGACTTTAATGTGCATGGGTGGTGAGTGATGTGTGTGCACATGATTTCTACCCATTATTTTTGGGTAAGACTGAATTTCAAGTATCACTGATGTGCATTCCTCATTTCCCCTAGGAAATTGAAAAGAAAGCAAAACAAAAAGATAAAATAAACACAAAACCCTCAAAAGCAAACCTTGAAATGCAGAGATGAGTAGAAGTGTTGTATTGTCTGAATGTACCAATTTGGATTTTCCCCCTACTACTTCAATAAATCCAAGTCATGGAAGAACCGATACATGTATATTTATATTTATATATTTATATTTATGTGCATTTCTTTCTATCTATCTACATGATTATTATTGTAGATGGATAGAGAGAGAACGAGAGATATACATATATTTATAGTAGAAAGAGAAAAGTGTGAGTGTTAGTAGCAGCAGCTTTATACTTTGCGCTTCCCTGTTGATTCCAAAAGAAATAAAAACAAAATCTTCCGTATGTAGATTAACTGATTTATATTTCATTGAAAAAAAAATCAAATGTAAAAGCAATATCTAAATGAGAATGTGGTCCTGGAGATAAATATAGGGTTGCACAAAAATGTGCAAATTGTCAAAATTATTTAACATTTCTACAGCAAGATATTACAGGTAACAGTTCTACAGCGTAAAAAAAATTACAATTCAGAAACAAACAAACAAAAAAATTGTTTCACTTCATTGAATGATAAACCTTTGTTTAAAAAAAAAGGAAAAAAGTTTACACAGTTAAAAATGAAGCACAGGTCAGCAGTATCTTTACAATACTAGAAAACTAAATCAAGGACTTTCTTTTTAAACATTTGCCCTTTTCCCTCCCATCCCCAAATGTTATTGATGAGCATTATGGTGGGAAGGGGAGATGTTGAAACAAAGAGGTGGTTTTGTTCTGGAGGAGCCGGGGACGGGCCTCCTGACGAACATCTTGCGCTGAATTGCAGAACTCCTAAAATTGGCATCGTTCACTATCATGCAGTCCTGAACGAGATGATCGTAGTTGGCAGGAATGTCCTCTTCCCTTTAATTTCAATCAAAACTGAATCCTTGAGATCTCTGTAAACTGAAATCCTTCAGGTGCCTCAACCCAGTCAAGATTCTTTAATTATGTTTCTGGTTAAGTTTACTGATGAGTGAATTGTTGGTTCACCCGGCAGTTTTTTTTTTCCTGTTAATATTTCCCACTAATTGGTCTTTAATTAAAAGTTAAGTACTTCTCAAGCACACTGTATGGCTCAGAAGAGGCTCTCTGGATCTTAAAGGGCCTGCAGTTAACAATCCAGGAAAGGTCAGCGTTTTTCCATTTGTTTTTACGTTGCATAGTGGTCAAAACTGCCCAGATATTCTAGTGCAGCTCGATAGCAGAACTGATACTGATCCTTGGGAAAGAGAGAGAGAGAGAAATGTGGGTTAGAATAAATATATTTATTCAGCACAGAGATACACTGACAATTTTCTAATCCTGATTAAGAGAACAGGAGAGGGGCAAAGGGGTCCCTTCCTGTGTTTACACAAGCTCTGTGTTCCCTTACCTTTTCAGATTTATATGGGATCAGGATAATTTTGGTTTAGCAGCTAATCATAGTGGCGGTTTCTGTTTAAACAAAAATGTTAAATCTTTGGCATAGAATTTGTACGTCCATAACAGGGTATTTGTGTATGCGATGTGTATATTTAACATTCACACATATTACAGATTAAATGATAGCATAAAATGTTCTCCAAATACGCTGTTCTTAACATATTTATGAGAATAATGATCAATGATCAGATCACTGGTTGTTTCTTAATGAGTAAGACATGATCAGCAAAATATTATTTCAATTTTTGATTGGAATAATATTCTAATTTTTGGTTGGCTCAAGATTTTTATCTTTTTTTCCATAGAATTTACACGTAATTGTTCAAACAGCAAATAGAAAACAAATAGAAAACAAGAACCATGCTTAATAGTAGCCTCTAAAGAACTATGTCTGAATTATAGAATTACAGGGTAGAAAGGGACATTGGCCATCTAATCCAAAGACCTTTCTGTTCAGATCTACAAGAAAGTCTGGGTAAGCACAGAGCCAGGCCCTCTAGCACTTTCCACTGTAATCTTAATTGCAGAAAATACAAACAGCAACAGCAGGAAGACTACTTCAGAACTACCCTGCCCTGTGCATCTTGCTTTATCCTTGTGTTCCTGAAAGAGAGTATCTTGCTAGGCTCTCTAAGGTCTCAGGGAAAAAAATCACTGAAAGAAGATGCTAGATGGTTGACTCTGAAAAATTCCTTTCCTCCCTCTGACATAGTGTTGCTACAGTATGCTGGAGATAGGCACACCTGTATTTTGGGGAGGAAGGAGGAGAAGGAAGGTAGCAAATGCAAAACAGATTCTTGGCTCAAATACTTTAAATTATTTTTAAAAGATTATTTAACATTAATATCTTGGTCTTAGCCTTGACAGATCCTATGGAATCAGTAATCTGTTTGTCTCACACTGCTGGATGCTGATTTTAGGCCTGTGTACAAAGTAGAATGTAACTACAGCCTCCAGATCTACTTATATACTAGCAGGGAAGGACAACAGACTTCCTTCCCAGGCAACTCTTACAGCTAATATTTCCTTCTACAAAGTAAATTTTCTCCATCTTTTACATGACAGCCTTTCACCTATTTGAAAATAGGTAACCTATCAAACAATGGTTTAACCTATTCAATATATCAACAGATCAAGACTCTCCTTCCAAGGAAGTGAGGGAAGATGACAATAATCTTGCGTGAACTTGGAATTAAACTAATTAACAGAATAAGAAATCAAAACAATACTAGAAAAAGCTGACAGATATTCTCTTGAGGAAGAGAGTGGGAGAAAAATCTTGTATTTACCAAGGAGGAATATTATGATGTAGAGATGCTAGGAAAAAAATGAAGACACGAAGTTCCCATCTATATATCTATGGTGAACTGTGGAAAGTTGTGAAAATACTCCATATAATATGTCTTTCTCACAAGACTTCACCACTCCATTTTGCCCTTCTTATTTATTTTTTATTTTTTTATTTATTAGATTTTTTCAACTGCCCATCTCCCTGCAATGGGGGAACTCTGGGCGATTCACAACAAACATTAAAAACATAAAATATATAAATAC